TTGGGTGGAACAGTGGCCATTATCTAAAGAAAAACTTGAGGCTTTAAAGAATTTACTTAAGGAACAATTGGCTGAGGGGCATATTGAACCAAGTACTTCTGCATGGAATTCCCCTGTGTTTGTCATTAAAAAGAAAAGTGGAAAATGGCGCTTATTAACTGATCTTAGAGCTGTAAATGCCTGTATTCAACCTATGGGGACTTTACAACCTGGTCTTCCTAATCCAGCCCTCATCCCACAGGATTGGAAATTAATGGTCATAGATCTTAAAGATTGTTTTTTTACTATTCCATTATCACCCCAAGATTGTGAAAAATTTGCCTTTACTGTTCCTGAATATAATAATAGACAGCCTACTCAAAGATATCAATGGAAAGTTCTCCCTCAAGGTATGCTTAATAGTCCTACTCTTTGTCAAGAATTTGTTCATAGAGCTTTAAATCCTGTTAGATGTCAATTTCCTACTGTATTGATATATCATACAATATATGGATGATATTCTATTAGCAACTCCAGATGAAGTCCTGCAAAGTCAAGTTTTTCATGCTTTACAACAGCAATTAACTCAATATAATTTACAAATTTCTCCTGAGAAAATACAAACTCAATTTCCCATTCAATATTCAGGATACCTTTTAGCAGAAAAGCAGATTCGGCCACAAAAAATTCAAATTCGAAGAGATCAACTTTTGACTCTTAATGATTTTCAAAAATTGCTAGGAGACATAAATTGGCTTCGCCCCATCTTAGGCATACCTAATTTACAAATTGCAACATTTATTTGCTACCTTAGAAGGGGATTCAGATTTAAATAGTTGCCGTCAACTATCCCCTGCAGCAGAAGAAGAGTTGTCGTTTGTAGAAAATAGAATTAGTGAAGCTCAACTTAATTATATTGCACCCAATCTTCCACTCTCTTTATGTCTTTTTCATACTCCTCACTCGCCAACGGCCATTTTACATCAAGATAATAACATTCTGGAGTGGCTATTTTTGGCTAATAAAACCATTAAAAAAATTCACCCATACATTGATAAATTGGCTGAATTAATTATCAAAGGATGACATCGAGTTCGTCAATTGCTTGGTACTGACCCTATTAAAATTATTACTTGATTATCTAATCAATACATTGAGTCTCTATTGGAAACTCATGAAGATTGGCAAGTGGTTTGCACTGAGTATACTGGCTCTTTTTCTCAGCACTACCCTAGCAATAAATTATTTGCTTTTCTACAGCAATATCCTTTATTGCCATATAATCCCATCTCTTACACCCCAGTTAAAGGTCCCACCTTTTTCACTGACGCATCTAGTAACGGAAAAGCTGGATATTGGACTCAGGATAACTTTAAAATTTCTCACTATCCATTTGAATCAGTGCAACAGGGAGAACATTTTGCCATTCTTATGGTACTGCAGGACTGGCCTCAAACCCCTTGTAATACAGTTAGTGATTCTCAATACGCTGTATACGTAACTAAATATATTTCTCAAACTTCTTTGCCATTATTTCCCAAAACTCCTTTATAAAAATTATTTTCTTTATTATTTATGGCTCTTACTTCTCGCACTGCCCCCCTTTTTATCACTCATATTCGTTCTCACTCTACCTTGCCAGGACCTTTGACTTTTGGCAATAGTCAAATTGATTCCTTACTTATCGGCAGTGTCCAACGTGCTCAGGATGAGCACCAATTGCATCATACTAATAGTTTAGGATTACAACGGCAGTTTTCTATAACACGCCGACAAGCCCTATTGTCAGGGCCTGTCCATCTTGTGCTCCTATTATTGCACCTTTTCTAAGTCCAGGTACTAATCCTCAAGGCACTCAACAAAATCACATTTGGCAAATGGATGTCACTTATGTCTCTTCTTTTGGTCGTCTAAAATATGTTCATCATACAGTTGATACCTGGTCACATTTCCAATGGGCTACACCATTACCCTCCAAAAAGGCTGACTCTGTTATCACTCATTTACTTACTTGCTTTGCGGTTATGGGAGTTCCTGCTGAATTAAAAACTGATAATGCCCCTGCTTATCGCTCTCGTAAATTGGCTGCCTTCCTTTCTTTATATCATATTCACCATTCCACCGGTATTCCATTTAACAGTCAAGGCCAAGCAATTATTGAAAGAGCCAATGCTACTTTAAAATTACAACTTTCAAAACAAACAGGGGGAAATGGGCGAGATTCCCCAAAACATCACATTCTGAAAGCCCTTTTTACTTTAAATTTTCTCAACCATTGGTGTCAATTACAGCAGTCGGCAGCGGTGAAACATTTTCAACAGCCTTTAGAAAAGCTGCAAAACAGTAATCTGTGGGTGTATTATCCTTCATTACAAGGGCAATATTTAAAAGGAAAAGTTTTACAGTGGGGCCGAGGCTATGCTGTTGTCCGTACAGGTGCCAGAGACGAGTGGTTTCCATCTCGATGGTTGAAACAGTGCCATGGCGAAGAGGAGTCGATCCGAAGAGTTCCTCAAGGAATTTCAGGAGCTGAATCTGAGTGCTCAGAGAACATTCACCTTCGGGACTCGACATGCGGAGCCCCCGACATGGGGTTGACTGAAAAAGCTTACTCAGTAAGCTGAAGGGGTTGTTCAACAAGCTGGGCAGCCCAAAACCCCACTGACTTTATTCCTGGCTATGCTGGCTGTAGTGAATTGCCAGGTAATGACTGGAGAATTTACATACTGTGCTTATATTCCCTTTCCACCCTTATATCAAGGTGTGGCCTGGGGAGACAAAGAAGTCCCAGTATTTACTAATGATACTGCTTGGATGCCATCACCTTTTTTAAACCAGGATCCTGAACTAGACACTGGCACAGTAAATAATTCATATCCATTTGGGGTTGAAGGGTTACCCATATGTCTTGGGAGTAGCCCACATTGTCTGCATCCTTCTCATGAGGCTTGGGCTGTTCGCTATAACCATAGTCATATATCTGCCTTTACTATGATTATTGTGGCTCAAAGTTTTAAGTATAATCATACTGCATTACTTAATGAAACTCTGCCAAGTACATTATCTTTATGCCCTATCCCTGATGTGTCCGGAGGTGTTTCCCAACTAGAGTGGACTAGATGTAGAGGTAGTGGGCCACGATTGTTGTTAGAAGTAAAAGGGAAGAGTCATAAATACCTTGTTACAGATTGGAGTGTACATGGAGATTTTCAAACTAAATTCAGCCATGTCAACCTGCATTGGCATAAAGGTAATCACAGCATTTCTGTGGATGGCAATGAAACTATTATTGGGCATGATGGTGGTCTATCACCCCCTATGCCACATTTGGCTAATACCTCACAAATGCAAAGTCATATTTGGAAGTTGCTAGCTGCTGGTAAACCATGAAAATGTTCACTTTCACGGGAAACATGTCCTTAAATCTTACTAATATTGCTAACCCTTTCCATATATCTTTGCATCAAAATAGTTCTAGATATGTTATTGCATGTGTAAGAAAGACTTACTTCTTGTTGATAGGAATTATTAAATAGGATAATAATACAGGGGTAGTTAACTGTACAAACAATGGTACATTCTTAAGTTGTATAAATACTACTTGGTGGAATAATAATTGGAATGAGTCTCATTCCGATTTATATATACTAAGAGCCAGAAAAGAAACCTGGCTACCCGTGAACTTAACACATGCCTGGAGTGAATCTGCTGGGGTTACTCAAATTTACAAAGTAATGCAAGATCTTCTCCACCGCAGCCGGATAATGGTTGGGGTCGTCGAAGCAGCAGTGGTGGGACTTGTAGCAATTGCTTCCACCGCCGCTGTTGCTGGATTAGCTCTACACCAGAGTATACAAAAAGCAGAATTTATGCAACAATGGCATGAACAATCACATTTGTTGTGGCAGCAGCAATGAGACATAGATGCTCATTTGACTGAACGAGTGGATAATCTGGAGCAAGTGGTTTCTTGGTTAGGAGATTAGCTAACAGTGTTGAATACTCGAGCTTTGTTAAAATGTGATTGGAATACTACCCAATTTTGTATTACTCCTGTTCCTTTTAACAGCACTGTACATAATTGGACTGAGATAAAGAGACTTTTAATTGGCCATAATAATCTTTCCTTAGAAATACAAGAATTAACACAAAACATTTCTGAAACATTTCACAATCAGTTACCGTTGCTGACCGGAGCAGATTTGATGACTGGTATTGCAAAAAGCTTGACGTCTTTAAACCCTATGAGCCCTGTAAAAACTTTACTGACTTCTGTTTCTAGTAATGTATTGATTGTTGTTCTTGCCTTTGTCATTTTCACAGTCTGCTGGAGATGGTGCCAAAGGGCAAACACCGAATCCCAGCGAGCTCAACATGTGATGATGGTTTTGAAAGAAATTCAAACTTGTAAATAAAGAAAGGGGAAATGTAGAGGACTACGTGCTCGCAAATGAGATGTTCCCAATAAGTCCTGCTCTTGCAAACAAAGCAGGACGTTCCTTCCCTGCAAACAGGGAGGACAAAGGAGTCAGCTGCAAACAGCAGACCCTGGGGACTGGTTTATGTGTAAACGTCTTGAAAAACCAGAAAGTCAGGGAAAGGTCAGAAAAACAACATGTGTCTTGTGACTTGGCAACATTCCACAAACGACTGTATAAAATAAATCAGAGCGTGCCGTTCGGGGTGGCCGCCTCGTTTGTCTCGTCTTGTGTGTTCATTCCTTTGTCTAGGAAACATGCGAACCCCAACAATCCCTGATATTGAGAAATATTAAGATGTGCAAGGCATCAGTTTCATTGACTTTCTGTGATCTCCATGAAGGATTGTGTGCTCTGTGTACTAATTTATTAACTGGTGAAACCTATCATAGCTGTACTCCTTTGGGCAAAAAAAAAAAAAAAAGAAAAAAATTGTATTTCCAGGGCTCATATTGTCTGGGGGCTTTTTATCTTTTTTGAATTGGGAAGGGGATTAGAGAATATAGTACTGATCCTGCCTTTAAATGCCGTTTCATTCACCAGTCGATATGCAGTGGGGATAAAGCCAGTCCTCCGCCCACTCAGAAAGGGGGGACCATCTCCTGCTCCAGATGTGGTCATTGGAATCTCTGGGAGGCGTCCTTCTGCGGCTGGTGTGGAGCCATGGTGGGTATTTTAAAACAGATTCTGTATACTGAGCACCTGGAGAGAGCCAGGCACTTCTCCCATGGCCTTGCAGAAATCACTTCTTGTGATTTTGCCACTGGTACCTATAACCTAAGAATCTGGAGATAGGGATAATTAATTATCTTACATTGAGAGCCATCTCTGGTGACAGTTTTGATTTCCTTTTCTTTGAGGTTAAACCTTTTCACTAATTTATTGACTGCTGGCATTTTAAAAAATGAATTCTGTCTGCTTGTCTCTATAATAAAACACTCAAGACTATGTATTTATTCATTTATCTAAGTATCACATGCAAATAATAAGAAAGTTTTAGAGTGAAGGGTTAATCTCCTTTCTAAGTCCCACAGTTCTCCTCTCAGAAGCAATTGCTCATATCCAGTTCTTGAGATGTTCTTTCAGCTATTCAAGGCATGTATAAGTAAACTGGTGCTATGAACACTGATCCAATTATTTTCACCTAGCAATATGTCTTGTTAGTAACCTCCTCATTCTTTTCAGTGGCTTCATAATCCATTGTTTGTATGTATGTACTGTAATATATTTAGACCATCCCTATTGCTGGATATGCCTGTTGTTTTCAGTGATTTCTTTTAAAACCACAATGCTTTAGGGGTTGACCTGAAGTACACTTCTTTCTGTACTTGACCATCTGTAGGATAAATTCTGGAAGGTAGAATGGCTGGGTCAGAGAGTGTGGGCATATGTTAATTTGTATGGTATGACAATAATTTACATGGGGAAATTATAACTCTAATATTCATCAAGATATTTTCTATCCTCTAGCTTGGCATTCCTGCTGGCTGCTCTGTTTGCCCTAAATGTGGGGCCAGCAATCACCTGTCTGCCCGATTCTGTGGCTCCTGTGGTATTTGTGTGAAGTCCTTGGTGAAGCTTAGCTTGGACAGAAGCCTGGCTCTAGCTGCTCAGGAACCTCGCCCTTTTTCTGAGGTGAGGCCTCCCCTGTAGTAAGAACTGGTACCCGGGAAGAGGCTGTAGCTCTGAATGTGTGTGCTCTACCCTGTGAATCAACCCGGGGAAGAGACCCAAAACTTTTAGAACTTTCACATGGAATTTCAACTAGGTGTGTAAATAAATGCAGTCAATTTAGATTTTAAACACTCAAATGATTTCTTCAGAAATCAAAGATCTAAGTGGGCATATTTATGTGTAGTAAACTGAGGTCTATGCCATTGCATTTGTGGACATAATGCCACTTTAGTGGCTTTAAAACACATGAGATAGAATGCACTTCTCTTGAATTTCTTATGTAGCATTCTGAGAACTTTTCCTTCCCCTTGTTTATATTTTAGAAAACGTAGGTATATAAGATTGCTTTTGTAATTTATAACAGCTGGGCATAGTTTGAGGAAAATCTCACCAGGTTATTTTCAGAAGTACTTAAGCTCTAACAATTGGCTTTGTGTTAGATTTTTATAATTATTTTATAAATTTCTCTAAGCTGGATAAAGACTTTTCATGTTTCCTCTTATCTCTTTATTATAAGAAGTTAAAGACTGATAATTATTAGAGGATGCACTAATTTGTATGCAGTTTTAGGGAGTTCATGACCTTCTTTTGTGAGACGGAGTCTTGCTCTGTTGCTCAGGCTGGAGTGCAATGGTGCAATTTTGGCTCACTGCAACCTCTGCCTCCCAGGTTCAAGCGATTCTGTTGCCTCAGTCTCCTGAGTAGCTAGGATTACAGGCGCATGCCACCATGCCCTACTAATTTTTGTATTTTTAGTAGAGATGGGGTTTCACTATGTTGGTTGGGCTGATCTCGAACTCCTGACCTCGTGATCCACCCACCTCGGCCTCCCAAAGTGCTGAGATTACAGGCATGAGCCACCGCACCCAGCTGTTCATGGTTTTCTTAACCTAGTTTGAAAGATTTAAATCCTAGACTGCCACTAGCCCTTACTCCTTTGTGCAAATGAAACAAAGGTGTTCTTTTCTCAAGACACTTGACTGCCATCTATTGGAAATTGCTTGTAATATGCTGATTTTTCTACTAGAAAAATTATCCTAATATTCAAATATATGATGTTCACCATGTGAATGGTACTACTTTGAATGCAGTGGCGTTGTGCAGTGCACAACCTTTCATGGTAGTCCTCTCAGGTCCCTAGGAGAGTATGTTAGAGAAAATGTTGGTGACCAGTGGCCAAGTGTGGATGAGTAGTGAAGTCTACGCTCTATTGCGTTATAGAGCTGAAAAGGATAGATATCTTCCAGGCATCAAGCAGGCCAGCGAACACCCCTGGATTTGTTGAATTTTAGGTAATAAATGGCTAATCATGGATCAGGCTGGAAGTTGCTGGGGAAGACGGGAGCAAGGAAGATGAGCCAAAGACTGGAAAACCCTTTTAGTTCAAAGTACAGTTTTTTTTGAGATACTTTTTATTCTGATTAAAAATGTTTTCTATAAGTAAATGCAAGATTGATTAAATCATATTCTAATTTAAAAAATGTTTTCTGCCTCACTTATAGCCCCAATGTGCCTGGCAGTCCCTGAATAATCCTTTGCCCAGATCTGATTCTGGGACTAAGAGGGACATAGGCACACAGACTGTTGGCCTGTTCTACCCATCCGGCAAGCTGCTAGCAAAAAAGGAACTGGAAATAGCCTCTCAAAAGCAGAGGCAGGAGAAAATGAGTGACCATAAACCGCTCCTCACAGCCATCAGCCCAGGAAGAGGTAAGGGGGAGATGCCCTTTCTTCTGGTCAGGAGGGAATTCACTCTTTCTCTGAAAGAACATTTCATTTTCTCGTCGTTTTAATTTATTTGTATATGTAAGAAGTAAGTTTCTTTCTTTTCCTCTTTTTCAAGGAATTTTCTTTGTATGGGAAAAAAGAAGCTCTTCTGTAAGCTCTTCCTTAAACTGTCAGTACTCTGATGTTTTAGCTCATAGCCCTGTTGTCTGGCTCCTTAGTCACATAGCGCATGTGGGTTTCTTTTGTCGTGGTAGGCGTGTTGTTAGTGTGCAGTGCTATTGCTATCTGCCATTATCCCTTTTTTTTTATTGTGGTAAAATTTATGTAATATAAACTTTACCATTTTGACTATTTTTAAGTCTATAATTTGGGCCAGTTGTGGTGACTCATACCTGCAGTCCCAGCACTTTGGGAGGCCAAGGCTGGAGGATCTCTTGAGTCTAGGAGTTTGAGACCAGTCTGGGCAACAAAGTGAGACCCTGTCTCTACAATTTTTTTTTTTTTTTTTTAAGCAGTCATTCGTGGTAGTGCATGCCTGTGGTCCCAGCTAGGTGCTTCAAATTTCATTCTGAAATTTAATCTCCATTGTGGTGGTATTAAGTGGCGGGACCTTTTGGAAACTGATCATGAGGATGGAGCCCTCATGAATAGATCAGTGCCTTATGAAAGGGCTGGAGGGAATGAGCTAACGCCCCTTTTTGTCCTTTGGCCCTTCCTCCATGTGAGGACACAGCGTTCCCCTCCTTTGGAGGATGCAGCAATGAAGCACTATCTTGCAAGCAGAGAGACCAGGCCCTCCCCAGACACCTAACCTGCAGGGACCTTTATTTTAGACTTCTAGCCTCCAGAACTGTGAGAAATAAATTCCTGTTCTTTATAAATTACCCAGTCTCAAGTATTTTGTTTATAGCAGTGCAAATGGCCTAAGACATTTTGCTAGTATTTTGTTGAAGACTTTTATGTCTGTATTTATGAGATATTTGTCTGCAGTTTTCTTCTTTCCTTCTGCTGTCTGTCTGATTTTGGTATCAGGATAATGGTAGCCTTATAGAAACACTTCTTTCTTTTTGAAGTGGTTATGAAGAATTGATATGAACTCTTATTTAAATTTTGGTAAATTACCTGTAAAGCTATCTGGATCTGATGTTTGTCTAGTGGGCAATTCTGGTTACTTTTTACTTTTTATAGGTCTGTTCAGATTTTCTATTTCTCGCTGAGTCAGTTTTGGTAGTCTGTGGTTTTCTAGATATTTGTCTTTTTCATCTGATTAATTTATTAGCATACAGTTGTTTGTGATACTCTTTTATAATCTTTTTTATTTCAATAAAGTTGGTGATAACATCTCCTATTTCATTTCTAATTCTAGTAACTTGAGATGTCACTTTTTTTGGTCAATCTCACTAAAGGTTTGTCAATTTCATTGATCTTTTGCAAGAACCAAATTTTGGTTTTATTGATTTTCTATTATTTTTATATTCTGTATTTCATTAAATTCCACTCTAATCATGATTTCCTTCTTTCTTCTTACTTTAAGTTGACTTTACTCTTCTTTTCCTGGTTTAAGGCCAAAGATTAGGGCAATGATTTTGAGATCTTTCTTCAGAATGTGAGCATTTGCTGCTATAAATTTCTGTTTGAGCTTTGCTTTCACTGCATCCCGTAAGTTTGGTGTACCTTCATTTTCTTTCTTTCTTTTTTTTGAGATAGGGTCTCGCTTTGTCGCCCAGGCTGAAGTGCACAATCATGGCACACTGTAGCCTTGACCTCCTGGGCTCAAGTGATCCTCCTCCCTCAATCTCCTGAGTAGCTGGGAGCACAGGCACAAGCCACCACACCTGGATAATTTTTAAATGTTTTTGTAGAGATGGGGTCTCACTGTGTTGCCGGTGTTGGCCAGTCTCAAACTCCTGGGGTCAAGTAAGCCTCCCACCTGAGCCTCCCAGAGTGCTAGGATTACAGGCATAAGCCACTGTGTCCAGCACCATGAATCCAGGTTTTTTGTCCATTCTGACAATCCCTATTTTTTTTTTTATTGGATTGTTTCATCCATCTACATTTAGTGTTATTATTGATAAAGTTTGACTTACCATTTTCTTTTTGTTTTCCAAATGTTTCTAAATGCCTTTTTTGTTCCTCTGTTGCTCCTTCACAGCTTTCTTTTGCATTGCATGTTTTCCAGTGTAACATTTTGATTTCTTTAATGACTTTTTCACTACATACTTTGAGTTATTTCCTTAGTGACTACTATAGGGTTGTCCTCATACATCTTAACAGACTATACTTCAAGTTTATACTAACTTAATTCCAACGAAATATAGAAATTCTACCCCTATAATCCAATTCCCTCTTCCCAACTTTTGTGGCATTGTTTTCTAGTATAACATTATGTTTATGTTTACATATATGTTATAAACTTTCAAAACACTGTTATTAGTTACAACATGATGTCTTTTAAAGATGCTTAAAGAAAAAAGAACTATTATATATTTATGGCTTTTGTTACATTAGCCTTCTTTTCCTCCATTTATAGTTCTCTTAATTTTTTCCTTTGGATTCATTTCCTAAGCCCAATGAAGCTTTGCTCTTACCCACCTCCTTTTCTTTCTTTTTTTTTTTTTGAGAGGGAGTCTGGCTCTGTCGCCCAGGCTGGAGTGCAGTGGCGTGATCTCAGCTCACTGCAAGCTCTGCCTCTTGGGTTCACGCCATTCTCCTGCCTCAGCCTCCCAAGTAGCTGGGACTACAGGTGCTCGCCACCACACCCAGATAATTTTTTGTGTTTTTGGTAGAGACGGCATTTCACCGTGTTAGCCAGGATAGTCTTGATCTCCTGACCTCGTGATCCACCCACCTTGGCCACCCGAAGTGTTGGGATTATAGACGTGAGCCACTGTGCCTGGCCTCACCCCTCACCCATCTTCTTTGTGTTGTTATTGGTCAATATATTTTATTTCTATATGCTATAGGCCAAACATTATAATTCTATTCATATTGTTTTACATAATCTCTTTTTGAATCTGTTGAGAAGAAGGGAAAAGAAATATGCATTTGTAATGTCTTTTATAATTACATCATTACCTTTACTGGTGGTGGTGGGCTGTGTGTGTGGCGGGGGGTGTGTGTGTATTCATATTACTCTCTAGGGTCATTTGCTTTCAGTCTAAAGAACTTCGTAAGTATTCTTATAAGGTGGGTTTGCTAGCAATGAATTCTGTTTTTGTTAAACTCTACTAGCTGTAAGATTCTTGCTTTACAGTTGTTTTCTCTGAACACTTTGAATACGTCAATCTACTGTCTTCTGGCCTCCATTATTTCTGATGAGAGTTCTGCTGTTAATATATTGGGGATCCCTTGAACCTTAGGAATCACTTCTCTCTTACTTCTTTCAAGATTCTCTTCTTGTCATATTCTTTCAACAGTTTGATAATGTGTCTTGCTATGGATCTCTTTGAGTTTATCCTACTTGAAACTTATTGAGCTTCTTTTAAAAAATTTTTTAAACATTTTATTAAAAAAATTTTTGTGGCCGAGCGCAATGGTTCAAGCCTGTAATCCCAGCAATTTGGGAGGCCGAGACGGGCAGATCACGAGGTCAGGAGATCGAGACCATCCTGGCTAACACGGTGAAACCCCGTCTCTACTAAAAAAATACAAAAAACTAGCCGGGCGAGGTAGCGGGCACCTGTAGTCTCAGCTACTCGGGAGGCTGAGGCAGGAGAATGGCGTAAACCCGGGAGGCGGAGCTTGCAGTGAGCTGAGATCTGGCCACTGCACTCCAGCCTGGGCAACAGAGCGAGACTTCGTCTCAAAAAAAAAAAAAATGTTGTGGGTACATAGTAGGTGTATATATTTATGGGGTACGTGAGATATTTTGGTAGAGCCATGCAATGCATAATAGTAACACTGATTGCATAAACAAACTTGCAAAATGAAAACCAATAAAAACTCTAGATGTAATCCCTCCCACTTTTTAACTTTTTGTTTTTTCTCTTTAGTCTTATTGTACTGTCTTAAAAAGTTGTTGTAGTTATTATTTTTGATTGGTTCATAATTTAGTCTTTCTATTTAAGTCAAGAGAAGTCCACACACCACGATGACGGTGTTATGCTATTCTGTTTCTCTGTGTGCTTACTATTACCCATGAATTTTGTACTTTTGGATAATTTCTTCTTGCTCATTAACATCCTTTTCTTTCAGATTGGATAACTCCCTTTAGCATTTCTTGTAGGACAGTCTGGTATTGATGAAATTCCTTAGTTTTTGTTTGGGAAGATCTTTGTTTCTCCTTCATGTTTAAAAGATATTTTTTGCCAGACGTACTATTCTAGGGTAAAACTTTTTTTTTTTCCAGCATTTTAAATATGTCATGCCACTCTCTCCTGGCCTATAAGATTTCTGCTGAAAAGCCTGCTGCTGAACGAACGTATTGGAGCTCCATTGGATGTTATTTGTTTCTCTTCTCTTGCTGCTTTTAGGATACTGTCTTTATCCTTGACCTTTTAGAGTTTAATTATGAAATGTCTTGGGGTAGTCTTCTTTGGATTAAATCTGCTTGTTGTTCTATAACCTTATTATACTTGAATGTTGATAGTTTTCTCTAGGTTTGGGAAGTTCTCGGTTACTATCCGTTTGTTTTTTTGTTTGTTTGTTTGTTTGATTTTTAAGATGGAGTCTCACTGTGTCGCCCAGGCTGGAGTGCAGTGGTGTGATCTCAGCTCACTGCAACCTCCACCTCCTGGGTTCAAGTGATTCTCCTGCCTCAGCCTCCCAAGTAGCTGGGATTAGCAGGTATGAGCCACCACGCCTGGCTAATTTTTATATTTATAGTAGAGATGGGGTTTCACCATGCTGGCCAGGCTGGTCTCTAACTCCTGACCTCAAATGATCCACCCCCCACGTTGGCCTCCCAAAGTGCTAGGATTACAGGTGTGTGCCACCGCTCCTGGCCTGATACTATCCCTTTGAAGAAACTTTCTACTGTTGTT